GCTTTCTTGCCACTTTTGAGAGCAGCGTGGGATAAGGTCCTAAGTCTCCTCTCTTCCTTTCCTTTCAAACCCTCCTTTATAAGATTATGCAGAAAAGGGCACAGACAACAACACATCCATTTAAAGAGGCACACACAGGGGCTACGTCCTCACTGCAGACATAATCCAGTTTGACACCACTTTAACTGCCATGGCTGGAATACTGGGAAATCTAGGTTTTTTGTCAGAGACAATGGTTTAAATGTTATTTACAGTCCTAACAAGGCTGGATACCATTGACCGTAATTCCAGGTTCAAACATGACACAAATGCCCCTTCCCGGTATGTTTAGTTCCTCCACAACCAGACTGTGTGAACTATCATGCTGTATGGCTGCCGCATGGTTTATTAATCCCAGTATTTTAATATGAGCAAGCAGACCCGACAGTTTGTGCCATAGACAGATTCAGTGACTTTATCACCATCATCCACGCAAAGTTCAATTTCACTCTCTGTAAAACAGAAGCAAGAGCAGATCAGCTCGCAAAGCAGGTGCAACAAGGAATATATAGACACACTACACTGGGACATTGCCCTCCAAGTAGTGAAAAAGAAAATGTAAAAATGAAAGACAAAAAATATGACAGTGGACCCTCCACATTTGTTGCGTTAGGGGCACAGGAGCCCCATGAAAGTAGAAAAAACACAAATAAAAAAAAAACATCATTTTTTTACTCTAGCAATCTCTAGGTCCTCCAGGACAATTCTGCGGTCAAGATCACCCAGATGTTGACCATGAAATTGTGCTGGAGGACCTGCAAATGTCTAAAGAAGTGTTCTCTCTAGGAATCTCTAGCTTGTTAAGTCGAAGGCTTTCATGGCCAGCATCCATAGTTTTTTGTGGGTTTTTCGGATTGTGCGGCCATGCTCTCGAAGAGCCCCCCTCCGACGTTTCACCAGCTATGGGAATTGTATTTTTTTTTCTGAGACATTGAGCCTTCTCTGTCAGAGAGCTCTGGTGCCACAATAAAATACAGTTCCCATGATTCCCTAACCCTAACCCTAACCCTTAAAGTGGACTCAATTTGCACTATTTCTGGCAGTCTGCAACCTCCCTTAGTCATGGTTGCCAATGTGGATTTATTTATGTATTTCTCCTTCTTTGGAGGTCTTTAAACAGAGGCTGGATGGCCATCTCTCGGGGATGCTTTGATTGGGAGTTCCTGCATGGCAGGGGGTTGGACTGGATGGCCCTTGGGGTCTCTTTCAACTCTACAATTCTATGATTCTAATATCCCACCTTTTCCCCTGCATGGGGACCCAAGGTTTTAAAGTGGATGGCTTTAAAATTATATATGAGTGGGAAAGATGTTGTTGTTGCTCTAAATTTTGGCTTCTTCCTTCTAATGTTGTCCAATAAATGGAAACTGAATTGTTTTGAGATTTCATTTATTAGGACTGCATCTACACTGCAGGATGAATGCATTTTGACAGATTTGCAGCCACTCTTTCGAACAAGGTGAAAAATGTATTTTTACTGTATGCACTCGTGTATAAGTCTAGAAATTTAGGTCAAAAAATTAATTCAAAAAAATTGAGTCGACTTAGCCATGGGTCAATGTAAGTACTGCACTTTAACTCTTATTTTTTTAAAAAAGAAACCATTCCTCTGGTGAAAGGCAAGAATATAATCTGTTCTGGAATCACTGACCTTCTCTATTCTCTCATCCATCCAGCCTTTAATATGAGCATAAATAGTTATGCCTTCTAGAATTTTTAAAGTTCTTTGGCATTATTTTCCTTTCCGTCATCCTTTACATCCTTTGCTAGATGCCCCTAAAGTTTTATGCTCGACTTATCCGAGGGCCATATGAAAAATCCCTATTTCTGGCCCCAAAACCCTCGACTTATACATGGGGTTGACTTATAGTTGAGTATATACGATAGGTCACATTCCCTGATATCTCTCCCTTCACCATTGCATGATCTGCCAAATACACGTGATGTTCCTTGGGCTGCATCTACACTGCAGAATTAATCCAGTTTGACACCACTTTAACTGCCTTGGCTCAATGCTATGGGATCCAGGGATTTGTAGCTTTGTAGATATTTAGCCTTCCCTGTTCCTAGGATTCCACAGCATTGTGCCATGGCAGTTAAAGTGGTGCCAAACTGCATTAATTCTGCAGTGTGGCAGCAGCCTAAAATCTGTTTGTTAATCATTCTGTATAGTAATTAACTGCATCTTGAGAGATGTGCTGTTTGCTTGCTTTAAAACTGTGAATGTGTGTGTGTAAGAGATCTCTAGAGATTGCAAAGTTACTCCTGACTACCCTGACTATGGGGGAAATGTTATGTTCAGGACTACACCTCCCAGAATCCTCCATCCAGCTAACCTATAGAGATGTCACTCTTTGCTAAGGTTGCACTTGCAAGGAATAGGCTGCCTTGAATCTCATTTTGGGAGAAAGGTGGGATATAAATCCTGCAAATTAAATAAATAAAAATAAAATCCCAGGTCAAGTCTGACCCAAGCAGAAGGTGGCATTTCAATACAAAAGTCCAGAGAAATGAAGACAACAGAGAGAGAGAGAGAGAGAGAGAGAGAGAGAGATACTTCTTTCAAGATATCTCTCTCACCCTAAGATTCTTCCCCTCCTCTCCCTGAAGGATGGAAAAGAGGGGTCCAGGCCCTGGATGATGGGATCTCGAGAGAGAGAAAAATGAGGCTGCAAAACAGAGAATGCAAGAAATGGTTTTGGTTTTGTCCCATCTTTTCCTTCAAATATTCCCCCCCTCCCTGTTCCTTTTTCACACTTCTTCTTATTTTAGGCTCAGACCAGCTGTCTTTTCTCAATTAAGCCGGAAATCTCAGAAGCAGAGAAGCAGAACCGAGGTGCACCGATCCAACGTTTCCCAAGAGAGTCAGGCGTTTAATCTGGATTGGGTCTAAAATAGATAGTCCCAGAACTGTTTGTACTATGCTAGGTGAAGTCGTGGAGCCCTTTGATGCTCAACTGGTACGGCAATCTGACTTTAATGGTCATTGCCGCATCCTATGGGATCTTGGGATTTGCAGTTTCTTGAGCTCTCTGGCATACGCATCTAAATACAGTGGGCCCTTGATATCCACTGTGGTTTGGTTCCAGGACCCCTCCATGGATACCAAAATCCATAGATGTTCAAGTCCCATTAAATGCAATGGCATAGTAAAATGGTGTGCCTTATATAAAATAGCTAAATCAACGTTTGCTTTTTGGGACTTACATGTATATATATTTTTAATATTTTCAAGCCAAGGATGCTTGAATCCATGAATAAAAGATCCATGCATGCAGAGGGCCAAATGTATCTCGTGAAACTACAAATCCTAAGGCTGCGTAGGATGTTGCCACAACAATAGTAGTGGGATCGGAGTAAAGCAAATTGTGTTGTGTGCAAAGGCCCATAGAGTTGGGAAGGATCTGAAGCATCCCTGCAGGAGTCGAAAAGAGAAGAAGCAAAGACCAACACAAGACTTCCTCTAAGCACAAGCAGAGGAGCCAGCATAGCATTATTATTTATTTATTTATTTGTTTATTTATTTATTTGTACCTTGCCCCTCTGCATAGCATAGTGGTTTGAGCGTTCGACTATGATTCTGAAGACTGGGGTTTGATTCCCTCCTCGGCCATGGAAACTCACTGGGCGACCTTGGGCGAGTCACACACTCTCAGCCCCAGAAAACCCCATGATAGGTTCTCCTTAGGAGTACTCATAAGTTGGAAAGGTCTTGATGGCAGACAACAACAAAGCACAAGCAGAGTCTTGAAAATGAGTAATCACACAGCCATTCCGTCTGCCAAGGGATCTTGAAGCACCTTTGAGACGAAGTGAAAGAAAGAAGCTTTTGTAGACTTGGTTGACTTCCTCAGATGCATGTTTAGGTCCAGAGAAATGAAGACAACAGAGAGAGAGAGAGTGGAGTGGAGTGGAGTGGAGTGGAGTGGAGTGGAGTGGAGAATCCAGAGACAAACCTATATAAGCCGTTTGTGCATGAGAATGTCAATTCAAATTCAAAACCTTGTGGATATAGAGATGAATTAGCAAGTGCAGTTTTAAGGATGGTTGTTGGGGGACAAAGGCAGGAGGAAGGATGTTGCCTAAAGCCAAGGAGAGTAGATGACCATAGGAATGAACATTGGGATGTATTGTGGGAAACAGAGAGAGGTGTGATGAATGGGTCAAGGGTATCCTCATGAGGATGGGGGTTAGATAGTGTTGAAATATGTGTAATGTGCAAGAAAACGATTATTTCTGTTCAGTCCATTGCTGATGGACTGGAGTCTGTGGATACATCCCAGTTCTGCTATTTCTCTTTCCAAACTTCCTTTGTAGGTTTTTTTCTCTGTGCAAGAACTGCTGTTCTGAGATCTGAGATGGAGTGCCCAGCAAGACCAAAGTGTTCTGCAACTGGTTTTTGTATATTCCCATTCCTAATGTCTGATTTATGTCCACAAAGCCACAGTTCCTTACATGGTTTCTGAGATTAGGAGGCGGAAGAGGTTCCCAAAAGTAAAGCTGGATGACATATGCAAAGGGATCTTGTGCTCAGGAGGGCTGCCTTGCCCCATTTATCACATCTCCTTTCTAGTTCCCAACCAGTATCGCACAACATTCCCTCCACCATCTATCTGGTTATCTACTCACCTTGGTTTTAGGCAACATCTTTCCTCCTGCCTTTGTCTCCCAACAACCATCACTAAATCTGAATTTGTCACCTCATCACCATACCCACAGGTTTTGCATTTCATAGAATCATTGAGTTGGAAATGACCTCAAGAGCCATCCAGTCCAACCCCCTTCTGCCATGCAGGAATTCACAATCAAAGCATCCCTGAGAGATGGCCATCCAGCCTCTGTTTACAACCTCCAAAGAAGGAGACTCCACCAACCTCCAAGGGAGCGTCTTCCACTGTCAAAAAGCTCTCACTTTCAGGATGTTCCTCTTAAAGTTTAGGTGGAATCTCTTTTCCTGTAGCTTACATCCATTGCTCTATATATGTCCTATTCTCTGGAGCAGCAGAAAACAA